AAATATAATTAAAGAAATCCCAGGAGCCGTGTATAAAGTCACATCACAGCTCTGAGTGAACTGTGTGTTCTGTTTTTTTTTTGTTTTGTTTAGCTCATCTCTGTTCAGCGCTGGTATTTTTTTATTTTTTTTGTCCCTCTGCCTGCCACAATCTGATCAGTTCTTGAAATCCAAACATATTGCCTAAGGCAGTCTGAGACGTGCAGGCCTGCCAGCTGGGATCTCTCTCGTAGGACCCACGCCGATATGTCATCACATTTCATTCGCTCCGCAAAATGAATTGCCTGATTGAAAAACTCTGCTGTATCCAAGCCTCTGATCATCTCATGCTGACCCAGCTTCTTTCCAGCTTCAGCCTGTGATGAATTTAAGTTGATGGCTGCAGGATTTTTCCTCTTCTCTTCCAGATATCCTACAGGTTCTGAGTGACATAGATGAAATGTCCAAACGGCGTCCTGAAATCCTGTCTTTCTTTGCAGTGAGTATACCAAGGCCCACCTCTGAGCCGTACAGATAAACACACACCACTGCACTGTAGGAACCAGACTCCGTCTACTTTCTGTATTACTCTTCCAATCCTCTCATCATTTTTTATTACTATTACTAATGAATACGGTACATTTGTACATGATACAATTTTATTTATTTTTTTACATTTCGCACCAAAAGCTAATTTAACCTGGTGCATAATGTTTTGATTTTGTAAAATAGAACTGCTGTTTTGGGGTGTTAAAATTAAGTCTTAGAAATGTTGCAAGCTACCTACTTGTTCGTTGTGGTGCATTAGCTGTGTACCTCCGGGCACACCTTGGTGAAGTTGCTCCATGAGAGAGGGAGACAGAGAATATTCGTGCGTGTATGAGTATACCTACCATACACTGCAGTTTTTTGTTTTGCCTTTTAAGAACCCACAAGATTTAATACATAATCCCAACTAACATTCCATTCCAATTCATTCAGTTTGTAGTCTGCTGCATTTTCCTTTTTGCTTCCTAGCCTATCTCAATGTACCTCCCGACACTAGAAGGCATAGATGTGGGCCACAAGGGTTAAGTGATTAAGTACATATCCGAAATTTGATTGCTCTGGGCTTTCTGGAGACACCAGAGAGCAAAGCCGAAATAGTGTCCCACATTGGGACTGTCCTGCTAAGCTCATGAATGTTGGCAAGTTTGTCTCTAAACATCACTGATGCATTACACAATTTACTCCAGTACAGTGGGTGCTTATGAAGGGGATTGCAGTTGTATTTGGTAACTGGACTAATACTACAAACTCCCTTTTTCTTTGCACTTGCAAGCATTGCTTATGTATTCTACTTACCTGTTCATTTTTCTACAATTTTGCATAGAAGAGTTCTATGTGTACCAAGTAAATATTTAGTCGATCCTCCCTTAGGTATAAAATCCAAATAAGTTCTAAAAAAACAAAACAAAACCAACAGATGCACACCAATGTCACTGCTAATGCTAATATAGCTTTATTTAAAAAACAATGCAACAGATACATAAATAATACACATAAAACGACTAAACATTATATATACATTATATATGTATTTGTTGCATTGCTTTGTAAATAAAGCTGCAGTGGCACTAACATTTGTGTTCTACTATCTAAAAAATCAAATAATTAGAAAAATGTTTTTTTCAACTGCACGTATGAGTAAACTTGTATACTTTGAGAGCCCCACGAATTAAATATATATATATATATATAAAAATTTTAATGTCACTTACATGTCTTGCCAGAGTGATTTTCAGCGGCTCATGAGTTCCACGGAGGAATCCTGTCGCAATTTGGCGTTCAACTTGGCTTTGCGCTCTATCCAGTGTAATCCCAGGTGAGTGCCTATGGCCAGAGCTCCATGTGCTACTGGCTGGAGAGAAGTGTGTGTGTTTTGATAGGTGGAACAAAGCAAGTGTATTGCAAAACTTAATTTGAGAAAAATATATATCCGTTCATTAGGTTCTGAGATATGTGCCAGTAATCCAACAATCTAAAGGGGAGTAGGACAGGCAAACAAGAGGGTCAGATCACTAGAAAACTAGCCACCCAGGCAAAGACTGGAGAGCTATTCGCATTAGTTTACATATGGAAGGGGGTGCCAGTGACACCTTGCCAAGCACCAGATTAATAGGTAACTCAGCAAGCCAGCCAACCAGGACTGCCCATGCACACAGCCGCGCAGCACCTCTTCTCTTGGACAGAGGGGAAACAAATGTGACATTTGGGAGTTATGGAGATTGGAAGACTGGTAAGATTTGAATGACAAAACCCATTAAAAAAAAATATCAAACCATTTAGCAGTTTTCATGATACTTTTAACAGTATTCACTTAATTAGAGCTTGTGATTGAGTACTCATGTTATATATATTTCTGAATAATTATAGTCTGGTCTAGAACTGGTGCAGGACACAGGAGATTTGAGGTGTTACAGGAAATGGTTTATTACATTACGAGCTAGCTATGTTGTCCTTATAATTCAGGTGCATGACCTGTAACATAGATCATTGCAATTGATTTTCCAGTCAATGAAATGAACAGCTTTTAATGCAGTGTTAATGTTCTGTATACATGTGGTCTATATTATATTCTAATGATAATGGTACTTTGTAGAATTTCTCAATTCTCTCGCAGTTGGAGTGTTTGTAAGGAACTCCAAGTGCTAACTTTGTGATCAAACTGTCCCTTGAACATGTTGGATTTGTCTAGAGCCTGCTATTGTCTCATAGTAATCTAATGTCAGAGCTTTTGATAGAAGCTCATCTGTCACTTTAAAAGCTGATGAATGTTAATAGTCCTGGCACATCTGCATATATCAAAGTGGATTCATTGATCAAACAAGTCCAGAAAGTAACAGCTCTATTGAAGATGGCTTATCTTGAGTTTAGGGGGGCTCATTATCAGGGTAGCTCTGTGCTCTCCTAGTCACTCTTGGCATGCCATGCAACCAAACAGATGTAAAGACATGTAGCTACGCAGCAATAAAACCAGAGCATAACCCGGGCTCACATTGCCTGCCAGATCATTAATGTGCAGCTTCAAAAAGTAAGCAAAAGTGGCATTTTCTTCCCTTAACAAACAGAATTTTCATATTTGGTCGGGTGAAATGAAGTTCGTTATAACAGCAGTGGCTTACTTTTTTAGATTCATTTAAAGAACAGGCTCTAGTTTCGTTAACATTTTCAGTAATTACAATGATTTATATAGCGCCAACATGGGCTGCAGCGCACTTACCAGGAGAAGCGGAATCTGCTGAAATTACCAAAAATGATTAGAAGAAAACAAAATAAATAATCGTCCTTTCAAGGCTAAATAAAACACATATCTAAAATCAACAGAAGGACTGTAGTCGCATATTATGTTTATAACTTTCCATAGCTTCTATGTATTGGGATTTTGGCCACGCTTCTTATTATGGGACCCTACAAAGGCTTTAAATCACTTAAAGTCCCAGTAAGTATGTAATGCAGAGCTCTGGGATGCTGTGTTAAATGATAACATTTAGTGGATTCATCTCATATGAGCAAATATTAGGTTAGGACCCGCTGGAACAGGGGTACTTTTACAGTGTTGCAGGCTAAGCATTTTATGGCCATAATGTGTGACTATAACCCCATTTGTTTTATCATTGCTGTTTTTATTAAGCCATTGTAGATCTATAACTTGTTTAATGTAGAGTGAGCTGGTTTTGTTTTTGCAGGTATTTGTTTGTATATAGATGCAAAAGAATATAGGATTTCAGTATCATGTGATACCATTGTTCTAGGATAAAAATAATTATTAAAAGATACTGAAATACTATCTTATTTTACATCTATATAGTTTTACATCTGTGTCTTTGCTTTCTGTACTGTGTTATCTTTAAAATTTATTAAAGGAACACACCAGTGGGTAATTTTTAAAAACTATATAGTAAATATGGCTGTAAAAAAAAAACAAAAACAAGCAAATACAGTATTTTTTTGTGTGCATGTTTTCTTTGGGGCCATATGAAAAATCAGCTTACAAACACTGCAGATTTGCTATCTGCAGCCTTTACAAGCCCCTCCTCTCTTTCCCTGACACAGACTTCCAGTCAAGCTGAATATTAGCCAATCCGAGGCCTCCCACTGAGAAGGCTAAGAGCTAGAGCCACGTGTGTGTGCATGTGATCGCAGTAGTACAGTTCATTGAGAAAGGGGGAAGACAGGTGCTCTATAGCCCACAGTGCCTTCCTCTTCTGTTCGCTCTACCCCAGTTGTGAAAGTGCAGAGTTCTATTAAAACCAGCAATTTTATTAACTGTCAAAACAAAATACAGATTCCATTTACATGCAGCTCTTCAAGCTTGAAGTGCTTTATGTCTGCAGTGTACTTTTAAATATGTGTAATATTTGTACTTAAAAAGTTGTGAGTGAATTTAGATTTTTGTGTGCTCATTGTTGTGTTCTGCTGTCATTATTAGTTATGTGAGAAGTCAAGTGCAAATTTAAAGCTAAAACAACGGAGCTTGGAGAGTATATTTTTCCACTTCTGCTATTGTATCTTAAAAATTGTTCTTTTGTAAATGGCCCAGAAATCCATTACTGCACGAGGTCTGTCAGAAAAAAGTCAAGCCATTGTTAATATAATGAGAAAGGTTTGCGCGACATTGATGTAACCTGGCAGCCAAGGAGAGTGGACTGGAATGGGCATGCGTGATCAATAATGACTTCACTGTACTAGTCAGTGGGGATGCTAGACACCTTGGGTTGAGCATGTGTGCTGTGTGGCCGCCGCATTCAAAATGACTGAGCAAGTAGAGCAACAAATCTGCCTAAAATCTTGCGTTAAACATGAACACTCCTCCACAAAAACTATTGGGATGATGCAGAAGGCTTTCGGCTATGATGCAATGAGTGCAGGGCAAATAAAAGTGTGGCATGTTGAACGATTTGGCACCCTGCCACTTCTGGCTTTTCCCAAAATTAAAATCATCTCTGAAAGGGAAGGGATTTCAGATCGTCAGTGAGATTCAGGTAAATGCCACAAGGCCGCTGATGGTGATTCCAACAAAGGATTTTGCAGAGACACTGGGAGAACTGTGTGAGGTCCTGATTTTAAGAGGACGAGGTGTCGTTGTCCTGTGTACAATGTTTCTTGAATCTCTTTCATTAAATGTCTCTATTTTTTTCATATTACCTGGCTGGATACTTTCCCGACAGATCTCGTATAGCTCTAAGGAGTAAATTCTCATTGCAAAGTAATCACAATGTCTGATTTCATTAGTTTACACTACATGTTTTGCTGCTACCTCAGGAAACCACAGGAAGACGTAAAATGCATAGTTACAATTCCAATATGGGGGAGTGATGTAGTGGAATTGACACACTGCTGTTATTTTGCAGGACAAGAAGGTTGGTTAACATTGTAGCAAGTTGTAAACACTAACATTATCATTGTGTCTCCTCAGCATTGCCTCGGACTACCTGCCTACGTTTATGTATTGTCTGGGCAGCAGAGACTTTGAAGTGGTTCAGACAGCATTAAGAAACCTGCCTGAGTACACCCTTCTCTGTCCAGGTTTGTATTTTATTAAAATTAAACTTTAATTCACTTTATACCAATATATCTCTACTTCTCCACATATTTAACAATAATCACCGTTAGCTGCTATTTTATTATTATTTTTTTCCTTGTCTGATATTTTAAAACCTACATATTGATTTGCTCCCAAACCTTGACATCATGTGTCATTATTTGGCCAAACATTTTTCGGGCACCAAGTAATGAAAAAAAGAGTTCACTGGATGTTTTTAATCAATGGCATTCTGGATTGAATTAAGCATAGACATTTCATTCTAATAAGCCTATTTTATTTAATTTTTTTACTTTTTTTTTTTTACTTGGGTTCACTAAAGGCTTTTTAGGGGGAACACTGCTCTGCAGAGTTTGGTCATGTCCTTCCTTAAACAATGGATTTTCTTTTCACAGAGCATGCCGCTGTACTTCTTCACAGAGCCTTTCTTGTTGGCATGTATGGTCAAATGGACACCAGTCCCCAGATCTCTGAAGCCTTGAAGGTCCTACACATGGAAGCCATGATTTAAGAATATAAGGTTTATTGGAGAGAACAGGACTTTTTTAGACATAAGCTTACATTTGGGTGCTTTCATGCATTCGAAGGATTACAAGACAAAAGCATTGTCCAATCCAGTTTAAAGTTTCAGTTAGTAATGTATTAACCCTTTAAGGACACATGACATGTCATGATTCCCTTTTATTCCAGAAGTTTGGTCCTTAAGAGGTTAAAGCTATTTTTGATTTGTTAACTTTTTATTTTAATTTTTATTTTTGATCCTTATTGACTGTAATGACAATTGTAATTAAACGGTCTTATTTAAAAAAAATAATAAAATTTAAAAAAAACAGAGCAATGCGCAGGACTCATGGTAAGCATGGAACACAGAGAGATTTAGCAGAATACAAATATGGGGTGTTTGCGTATTCTGTGAATTTTCCCCAAATAAATGTGTGGGGGAAAAAAAAAAAAAAACTGAAACAAATAACTGCATTTGATCAAATGGTTAAATGAAAAGTATCAAAATGCTCTTACTTACCTGAATACACACTTCCTTCTAGCCATACGAATTCATATTCACATGGGGTGATAGACTGAAAGTGGTCAGCTGAGATTCACTGCCAATCCCATTTGCCCATTAGCCTAAGCCGCAAAGAGGGAGGGTGGGGGGATAGGCATTAAGAACAGTTTAACTCTAAATGGAAGGATGGCACCAGGGGACTCCATACACTATATAACCATCACAGTAAGCTAAAGCAGTTAGTCTATAATGTCCATTTAAGGATATCTTTGTATTGTGCTGCATTCTACTTTCTCTCAAAATCAATCATAAAGCATGATGCTACCACCTCTATGTTTCACCATTGGGATGGTATTTTGCAGGCTAAAATAGGTGTCTGATTTCTTCAAGGCATGACCGTTTGAATTGAGACTAAACATTCATCAGGCCAGAGAATCTTCTTTCTCTCAATCTGAAAGTACTTTTATGGCTTTGATGTGTCTTGCAGTGAGGAGAGGCTTCCATCTGGTCAATCTATCATAAAGGCCAGTTTGGGAGAGTGCTGCAGTGTTGGTTGTACTTCTGCAAGTTTCTCCCAGCTCTGCACATGATCTCTGGAGTTAACCCAGAATGGCTGTCAGGTTCTCTGTCACCTCCCGAACCAAGGTCTTTCTCCCTCAATTGTTCAGATTGGCAGGCGTCCAGCTCTAGGAAGAGTCCTGTTTGTTCAAATTTCTTCCATTGAAGAAGTATGAAGACCACTGTGCTCTTTGGAAACATTCAGTGCAGCCGAACATGTATTGTAGCCATCCTCATATCTGTGCCTCGACACAATCCTGTCTCTGAGCTCTGCAGTCAGTTCCTTTGACCTCATGGTTTGGTTTTTGCGCTGATACACATTTACAGTTGTGAGACCTTATATAATCACGTATGTGCCTTTCCAAATAATTTCCATGTAGAAACATCTCAAAGATGGTCAAAAGAAATATGATTCATTCAAGCTAAATTTCAAGTGTCATAGGAAAGTGTCTGAACACATGTCAAAGTGATAGCTTTTTGATAAATTTCCAAAGTATTAAAAAATCTGGTATTTCCTCTGTGATTATGGAGATTGACGTGTGGGAAAAAAAAATGTTTTTAAACGATTGTAGCATAAGCCTGCAACAAAAAATTAAGGTGTATACTAAGTTACAAGAACAATTATGTTTTCATGGACACATATAACTTTTTTCATATTTATGAAAAGTGATGCCCTGCAGTATGTTTAATGCATATTAAAATATTAAAAATTAAATTTAAAATTCTGGTTCTTGCTTTCAAACCTCTACATAATGTTGCTCTGACCTGTCTATCCTACCTAATACACAAGTATGTCCCATCTAGGCCCTTATGCTCTACTGAAGACTTACGTATATCTTCTGTCGTACTTCCTCCTCTGATGCTCGCCTTCAAGACTTCTTGAGGGCTGCACCGTTCCTGTGGAACTCACTTCCCTCCTCTGTTAGATGCTCACCCAGTCTCCACTCCTTCAAAAAAATCATTAAAAACCCACTTCTTCAAACAAAGCCACATGGGACTCTGTCCCACAGACACCTGCTGGAGACTGTGTGGTGAAAAGGGCACATACATCCATATGTGGTGGCAATTCACCAAAATTAGCACATACAGGAAAGTGACAAACATGAACTCCCGCATACTACAAAAAAGATTAACCCCCGAGCCATGGTCGTGGCTACTATCCAGACCAACTGACGGACTAGACAAACACGAACAAAGACTGCTTAATATGCTAATATGCGCTGGCACAGCATTGGATAAAATCAGAAATCCCACCTCTTACATTAGTACTGACAAAAATTAGAGACAATTACCTGATGGACAAACTGACAGCCCAAGTCCAAAATACCACGACCACCTTCCAAAAAGTTTGGGTGCCATGGGAACAATTCGATGCGTGCCGCTTTTTCACCGGGGAGTAGGAGTAAAGCGAAAATGACCAAACGACCCTGTGTCCCTAAGAGCTAATGTAACACAGGGTTCTGGGCATGAACAGGGAAATACAAGCAAATGGAAAAAACATGGTATTGGAATCCAGAGCTATATTCACACATCTCAAATGCTACACCAAGACACACCTCATTTGTACCTACTTTATGATGACTTTCTTTTTTCTTTAGTATACATGTATAACATAAATTACATAAACGTAGAAAAATAGACAGTTACCAAATGACTTTCTTCAACCAAGGGGCTTCTGCGTTAGCCACAAACCAAATTGCCATCACACTGTAACTGTCATTGCAAAAAAAACACTTCTTCATAAAAGCATATTAGTTAAACTAAATAGCTCCTGACTGATTCCTCTCTTGCAACTGTCATTAGTCTAATACTATCCTTACCTTTTGTGTAATTTTACCCCACTCCCTCTAGCATGTAAGCTCATTGAGCGGGCCCTCAACCCCTCTGTTCCTGTGTGTCCAACTTGTCTGGTTACAGCTATATGTTTGTTCACCCACTGTAAAGCGCTGCAGAATTTGTTGGCGCTATATAAATAATATCATAACATATTCTGCATGATTCTTCATTGCCTAACTACTTAATCTTATACACTTTCTTTTGAATTCTACATATTACAGGGCAACCCATTTTATGTGCTGCATAACAATATGTATACGTGATATGTGTCCCTGAACACATGGTGGATCTGGTAATCCTATGTAGAATGAGAAGAAATGTTTTTCAGTGGTGTGGCCCTATGGAAGGCTGGTTCTACTATAGGAGATACAGGTAGCCAATTTAAGGAACCCAAACTGAACCACAGAAAACTGAGACTTTCCATTTTTTTACCCTAGCCCGGAGACGTGTGAATTGTCTTTTGGGCCAGCAGGAGGCCAATTGGAGTTTAGAGAATTCCACAACCTCATCAGCCTCAGCACCCAGAGTGATTGTGAGAGAGACAAAAGGGTTCAATGTTCCACCATGTCCCTCTCCCCTTTTATCACAGCATGGCCACCAGCCATCTGTACTTGAAGTGTTGAGGCTGAGCAGTAGGGAAGAATGCGGCCTTCTGCCCACTGCACGTCTTCCACAATTACATCAATTAGTGAGACCCCGCAAAAAAATGTACATTGCTTCGGAGCAAAGTTGTGACATTTCAAAGCAATATTACCTTTCAGCTTTTTCTTGGTAGCCTGCCAACTCACCAATTATTTCGTTTCAGTACTAAAAATCTAATGTAATCTCTTACAAGTGGCTAGAGATGGTGTTACTGACATGATAAAAGTCTGACGTGTTTGTTAATCATCGCTGATCTTATGTACTGAAACATTTGATCTGAGCTGCTTTGCAATTGAACGTACAAATTGCGGTGACGTGACAGCATCGGCCTAAATGGCATTTCGATTGAATACTCTGTGTGTTTTCTTAATGTGTTGACTTGATGGAAGAGATAAGCATACATTTTATACATTTTTTTTTTTTTTTAAATCAGGGCTTTGAAGATATATTACACTGCAATTTACTTCTAAGCCAACATTATTATTGTGTTTCTATATGTATTAAGTATCCGTGTCTCGAATTTATTGCTGTCATGCCTGAACACGTTTAATAAGAAATGAATTTGTGATGCCGTTTAGAAGAAATCTCTGATTGTTTGCAGTGGGATATATGTTAATACATATGTTAATACACGTCAATATTGCAATTGTATTGTGACCTGTAACACTGTAAGTGTCCAAATACCACGGGGCTTATTAGCTAAACAGTGATTTGTCATGCACTGAAAATCAAATTTCAAGTTATACGCTAGCTGTGACTATTACAAATTGCTGTTACAATACAATGATATATTTTACAGTTTGATTTTCAATTCTCTAATATTTTGTGTATTTACTGAATAAAGGCCAATTTAAAAAAAATGTGTTTTTGCTATTTTAAGCAGCATTCTTTTCTCTCTCTCTCCCCGCTTTTACTACATGTGGGGGCTGTCTGTCTGACCTAGCTCACTGGCTGAGAATAATCAGCTGAAGCATTCAGCCAATGAACTTGTCTGAAGTAGTGGAGGCAGGGAGGGGCGCCCATTAGACATTAGAGGTAAGAAGTTGAACTGGTTTAAAAGTATTTGACTTCTTACTATGGGAGGGTACCAGGGCACTACTGGCACCATAATCACTTTAGCACAGAGTAGTTGTTATGGTGCTTAACCCCTTAAGGACACATGACGTGTGACATGTCATGATTCCCTTTTATTCCAGAAGTTTGGTCCTTAAGGGGTTAAGAGTACAATGTAATGTGTGCAGACATAATATACCATACTCCATTATGAACTGAGCATAGAAATGGCTTCATCATAATGATTTAAAAAAAAAAAATCAAGTACCAGGATATATATTACATAGTTACAAAGTTACATAGCTGAAAAGAGACTTGCATCCATCAAGTTCAGCCTTCCTCACATATGTTTTTGCTGTTTATCCAAAAGAAGGCAAAAAACCTAGTCTGAAGCGCTTCCAATTTTGCAACAAATCCCATATCCTTCTTTTCCCTTATGGGATCCTTTAACACTAAATATAAAGGTTTATTAAAACATAGATACATTATGATCAATATGTTGGTTAATCTTTTGTTGTCAGTTTTGCAGGAAGTCTTTGGGTGCAAGTCTCCTTTTCCTATTATTATCAATTTTGAATGGTTTAAAAAAAAAAAAAAAAAAACACACACACACACACACCCCTAAACCCACTAATGCAGCTACTACAGAGAGAATGTCAAGTGTCTGCATTTCTGATTTATCTATCCAAAGTTGTCTAACATTGGACGACAGTGATGGACTGCCAGGGATTTATTTTGATAGCAGGGAACCCCCTCTTGCGTGTCAAACTGCTTCAAAATGGTTTGACATAAAACAAGGGGTGGCACCCAAAGACTCATTGCACCATAACCACTACAAGCAGCTAGAGTAATATCAGTGCTTAGAGTGATCTTAAACACAAATGCACAGGGTTTTGTAGACGTATTTTATATATCATCAATATATCAAAGAGAAATGGTGATCAGATTGGTGCCGTGTTCCCCTTTAAAGAGCAGATTCTAAAATGTATATTCCCAAAACTCAATTATCTTTTTTTTTTTTTTCAACAATGCATATATAGTACTCACTTTTAATTTGCTTTACAATGCAAAAGGACATTTACCCCAGATATTTACCTTGCTTTTTGATCCACCACCGATTATCCCCCTTAACCCCTTAAGGACCAAACTTCTGGAATAAAAGGGAATCATGACATGTCACACATGTCATGTGTCCTTAAGGGGTTAAACACACAGAGACAAATTCAACTGCCTGGTCTCTGCTTTGTCACCCTGCGTATATCCTGAGGGACTGTAAATGGCATTCCTCCCTGCAACACTTTAAATGAAACTTTCGTAAGTCAAACATCATGGCTGCCATGTAACAGTCTAGTAGTATGCGCTATGAACATACTAAGCACACTACACGTGCTAGTTGCTGGATACTGCAAGCATTACATTTACATACTGATGGAATTTTTGACACTTCATATTCTTATAAAGATTTTAATGTACGTTACCCGTAAACAGGGCATTTGCACATTGTTAATTATCTGTATCATTGGCATAATATTGGGGTCTGTTCTCTAAACAGCATGCGGAGGTGACATGCGACCATAACTTTAAAAAGATTGGGTTAAGCTCAGTGAGCCAAAGAACTGACCTAGTAATAGAAGATTTTTCTGACTAATGTAATGAGCTAAATGTCTCCTAAGGGGTGTTTCTAAGGTCAAAAGCACCCAGAGTTTGAGCCCAAAAACTATTTGGTGACCCCCTTCTTAAAGTATCACACCAGGCATCTCACCAAACCCCACCCCCTGCTCCTCCTTAAATCCACTGGTTTAAACACATCTTGCCACACACAGTTACAGACACACACACAAATACACATACATATTTAGACACAGGCAGGCAGACACAGACAGATTACACAGGCACTCATAGACATGCACACGCAGTCATACACATACACAAACAGGCATACAAAGGCACAAACAGACACACACAAGTACACACAGGCACTCACAGACAAGCATACACAGACATACACAATAAAAAAGATGGCTCTGTAATTTGGAGGTTGGTTGAGGGCAAGGAGAGCAGAACTGGTCAAACACAAAAATATTTAAGGTTAAAGGGTCCCACATTTGAGCTTGCACTGGCATGAAACTTCCATTTCGCAGTAATTGATTGTGAGCTTGATGTTAAATAAGAAAAAACATTTTTGCAGTGTCCCTTTAAGAGTATTGTCTTCAGATTATCTTTTGTATCTACCTTCACAAAGCTCAAAAGAATTCAAACTGTGTCTTCACTTTGAAATCTGAAGAGAAATTACTTTGCCGTCCAGACAGACTGTTTGTGGCTTTTCCCCATTAAGGGAAGTATCAGTTCTTACCTTGCATTCTGCCAACGACCCAGAACAGCTGGCAGGAGATGAGATACAGTTACCAGACCAGAAATGGGAACGGCTAGGTGAAGTCACAATTTTTTATTTCATTTTTTTAGATGGGTTTTTTTTGTTTTGTTTTTTTTTTACAATAGTTAACGTTTCCTTGTCTGCTTAAAATATTATATTCTGGAATGTCACTTTAAAAGGGAACTGTTACCTCTCAGGATTTTAATGAAATTAATGTTTATTAATCTTCAATATATAACAAATATGAATTTGTGAGGTGTTAAAAAAAAATCTAATGAAAAAATACATCTCTTTACCCTGCAACTGGGCGCCTCCATCTTGGCTCCCTGTCAGCCATTGTTATAAGCTCTGTCCTTTGCACCTGGCAGCCAGCATAGAGAAAGCTTACAGAGTAAAGTAGAAATTAAACAATGCTTCTATTTTTTCTTTTCACTTACAGCGTGTGCCCTGAATGTGCCTAGACCGAACTGGATTGTCATGTCATTTGCTAAATTTTTTATATAAATTTGAAAAAAAGATATAGTACTCTAAAAAAACATGAGTTAGTTTCCTAGAGAAGTTGTGGTTTTCCTTTAAATACTAATCAGATACTGTGGTGTGCAGCATTTATAAGTGAGCCACCTTTCTATAGGTGACACAAAGCCTGCTCGATAAATACTTCAGGGCATTACACTTGGGGGGAACCCCTATATGTTTTGTTGGACTTCAAAACAGCGTGCTTGTGATAATTGACTTATTTAATATTATGAGGGAAAATAGTGCAAAAGCTTGGAAGTTTGTGTCCCCCTCCCTCCTTGTCTGCAGTCCTCCCTTATCCCATTTGCTAGCTGTTTGGCACCCGCGCTCCCTCCTCCTCCTTGCCCTCCCAATCTACCTCTCCCTGCCTTTTGCCAGCACAGAGCATGCACTTTAAGCCCGTTAAATGGTCCAATCAAAGGGGCTGCAGTGACATTAAAAGCCTTACATACTTGGACCATCTCGGGGTTCAAGCCCTGAGTAAATTTAGTCTACATATCAGGGACAATGAACACACATTTCTTGGTTGATTGTCACAGGAACTGCAGTCCTCAGTAGTACACATGTGAGTTTAAAATTATTTCGTTTTTGGTACCTGGCTTGCAGTTTTCAATACAAACCTATTTAATTGTCGTTGCAGCGTTGGCGGAATTTTCCTGAGGGCAAACCCGTTTAGATTGTGAAATTTTATCTTAATTTACAGACACATTACATGCAAATTAATGTTACAAAAGCTTTATGTAAGAAACTGTTGTTATAATGGAGTAATGCCATACTAACCTGTGTACAATGATCTTGGCTTGAGATCAAAGGAGTTCAAATTTATTTTTTTTTCAATTGAAAATTGGGATATGTTGCAAGTTGTCGCTTTCTGTACCACTTGCAGTTATTTAATACCGTCTTTAGCTATAGATACCCGTGGTATGTAAGCCAGACAAGCAGAACCACAAACGTAAAGCTCCCATGGTCAGCCATTTTGTTTCTTAACAATTACATCTCTTTCACAACATCCGTAAAAAATGCTAAATTATATTTTTCCTCTGGGTAAAGGTAAGTAAAAAGCTTTAGTTTATTAAAATGTTCTGGGTAAGGGTGGTCAGGGGACTCTATAATTAGGGACAGGGATACTAAAGCAGTAGGTCTAGAGGTTTATATTTCTAAAACTTCAGAGTTCCTTTAATAAAGTGTCTGTTTTAATATTCTTTTTCCATATTATATAATTTTTAGGGTTGCAAACTTGGAACTTAGAAAAGATTTAATGAATAAAAACCTTGGTTTATTTATATAAGCGTCTTCTTAATAATCGGTGGTTTTGCTTGCTGAAATTTCCAGCTCAGAGCCCATCTGTCACTGCGGTTCTGGGTGAATTAGATTTGTGGACAACCTGGTGATCAGTATAATGCATGCAGGTGAGTGCATATAATTAAATTACCAGCTCTTTTTAAGTGATTTGGGAATGTCACACTTTACATTGATTTTCTGGGCAGAAAGACGCCTCCTTTCTCTATGAAAATGATCTGGTTCAGGTGCTAATCCAACCAGGAGATATTTTTCTCCCTGACTTTCTTACCCTATCAGTACAGATTTTTATTATAGTTATTAAAAAAACACCAGGCAATACAAAAAAAAACCACATACTCGGAACAGGATGGAAAAGTGAACCGAACAACTAAACATTATAGGCCTCGATTTAATATTGTTGGATAAGCTTTTGAAATGATTCAATATTTTTGGATGAACTTTTAAAATTGTTATTAAAATATCAAAAATATATATCGACATATTAACAATATCAAAATTATGCAAAATGTGAATATTTTTAGCCAACAATATTAAATCGGGGCCTTAGATTTAATAAAATGCATTAAAGTGTTAAAATATATTGTGACATTAACTGAGGTTTTGCTCTATATAAAA